CCGCTGAGGTTGTCTTGACGGTGTGATGACAACACTATTTTTTTTTTTGTTTGTTTATTTTTTTCTTCTCTCCGTTAAATCATAAACGACGTCGAGAAAAGAGCAGAATTGTTTTTTTACAAGACTGTCTTGCGTTGTGCATAATAATATATTATTGGTTTATGCATTGTCCCCAGACCGAGCAGGGGAGGTGCGGTTTGGGAATTTTAACTGTTTTGAATGGTATATTATTGTCACGGGTATATAATAGACGGTCATGTATATAGACGTTTTCACCAGCTCAGGCGAATCGATTACGAGATACGTTTGACACCTCTCTTTAGTTTGGCGACAGTTATTATTTATAATTTCGTCGGCGGTCATCAATTTCATCGAGCGCTATCCATTGGGGAATATACCACAATAGGTATATAGAGTGTAGGTATCCCTTATATCTGTGCTGAAACAAACCGAATGAAAGAAAAAGATAAAAATAAGAAACTTTTTCTAGTTTCATTGATCGTCCACTGGTGTGCATATACATGTATACATAAATATACACTTACAATACACTCCAATTTTCGTAATTAATACGATCCGGTGCTTTTGGTCTTGCGCCGTAAGCCTCCGGGGTCACCGACTACACGATAATATTATATAGGTGCAAACACTAATGGTATTAGATTTATTTATGTTTCCCCACTTCCAAAATAAGCGCGATCCACATTCGACTAAAGAGTTGCAAACGTCATTGCGTCAAACACATATATCATTAAAACGTGTATAATTTTGATTAGGTTATGTTGATGATAGTTTAGTTCTAGTTATTTAGTTAACATTGTTTTTTAACTATTGTTCAGGTATTTAATTTGTTATGTAAATTGTTCCTAAATTCAAAGGCAATTGTATTAATTTGTACATTTACCTAATTTATAACACAGCACGCGGTAAACCAGTTAGATCTAAATTAATTTTAATTTTAATCATACAATATATCATTTTATCATCGGTTTTATAATATTATGATAGTAATAATCGAATGTTATTTTATCGACAACCAGTGCTATTTAACTATTTATTTTTCAGGTATATAAAGTGTATTGTTGTCAAACTTTTGTGAATTCAAATTATCGAACAAATTAGATAAAATTATTGATGCTACATTTCTATTCACGCCAAACAAATTGTACAATATAATAATACATATTTTCCATTTAAAATAAAAATTACATTAAACGATGTTACTATGGAATCATTTTACAAAAATGTACTAAAAAATAACCTTTTTTTAATTTCAAAAGATATATTTAAAATTCAATCTGACAATTGTAATTAATATTTGTAACCAATGATTAATGAGTACGATAATTAATACGACTGTCGATAATGAATTACGAGTAAATCCAAAAAAAATAAAAATTATGATTAATTTAAAACTTCAAAGCTACCAAACATTTAAGAAGGCATCTATTGTAGAAACAATATTTGTCACACCAATACAGACTCTGATGAATTTCTTTATATGATAAAAATGTAAATGAATAGAAGTGAAAACCTGCACCCCTAACGCCCACCTCCCCCCCCCCTTAAAAAAAAACAATCACTTTCTGTAAAACGTCAACCTTTCTATTCCATGTGAAGGGGTTGACGTGAAGTATCGTAACCAAAATTATTTTTACGACGTACCAAAAAACTCCTGGCCTCGGTCACAACATTATAGGAGTTTAAAAAAAACCCCTAATGAATAAGACAAATACGGTTCACAGAAGCTTAACGTCATCGATCGATAAACGTCGGGATAAGTGATTTAAGATAGTTATAATGTTTCAGCACTTCCGTCCCTATATTATACACCCGTGAATAACAATGAAACTTTAAATAATAAACTATTATAAAACATCACGACTTGACCGATCCTCTGGGGTTGTGGTCTGAGAAATTACGCAACGATAGTCTATTTTTTATAGAGGTTAAAATGCATCTTATTAATTAGAAAATTATATTACAAGAATATATACAACTATACAGTTATAAGCATATTATATTTTAAATGTACAATTAATCATATAAGATAATATAAATAAAACTACTTTAAAATTGATATTTTTAGTTTAGAAAAAAAAGGATAGTTAGTTAAATTTAAACATTTTTAGAATTCGACAATCGCCAACAAGTGCCAATCATGTTTTGTATATTATAATGTTAATTAAAGGAAGTTGACCCATATCATAACCCCCCTCTCTACACACACACACACAATTTATTTGCGTCAATCCTACCAATGTATTATATTGAAGTGAATTTCATTCAAATTAGCCTGATAAACGACGCATACCTTCATCAAACGTGTATTTGTTATTAGTGTTATTTTTATATACAAACTATAACACTTGTACTTTTTTTACAAAAATTTCAAACAAAAATCATTTCACAAGGACTAAAAAACAAATATTGCAGCTTCTATTTGAAATCTGATGCAGGGATTCTATTTTGACACTGGAAAAAAATAATTACTTCAATCAAGTACAGAAAATGATTGATGTAAGACCATTCAAAGAACAGAAATTGGATAACTTTAGTGAAATGGTTAAAAAATCAAAAGTTCAATGAATAATTCAAATCCCTTTGTTGAGTGAATTAATACAATTTACCCTTATAAATATCTTGAACTCTCAATTATCAAAATTATATGTCGAACTCAAAAGTCAGGTTATAATAATAATAATATGCCAAATGTAAGACCCAAATTATCGTAAATCAAAACCTTAGGTAGTGTATAATACTGTATATGCATTTGTATTAAAATGTTTTTGTTGCATAAAAAATGTTGATAATCCACGAGCATGGATAAAAACATTATTAGTAATGTTCAGTACAATTAAGTTAATTAATTAATTAATTTGTCAAGACATAAATAATTATTAGGTAGTCCTATTCGAGAATTATATTAGAAAAAATTACTTGAAAAAACAAATGGTAAATGTAGTTAAGCATAAGCTTCAATCATACACTTCAATTCCATGAAAAGCTTTTTGAACAATCTTAAGGGAAACGTAGGATCAAGGTTTAAAGATCATATTAAAAATCTAGAAGACAATATAATATAATAAGTGCTGAGTGGCGTAATATTACGCACTCCAAAACCGACACTTATAACGACATAAAGCCGTTTAGAATTTTGAATTATCAGCCAAAATCTATCATAAACTCGATACGAGAGAACACGCGATATTGTGGAATGAAGAAAACTTGTTAAATCGGGTGTCTCGAGTGTCACCCGCACAATAGTTTGTTAAAATCACTTTGTTAATTCCGTTACCCACTCGGTAATTATTATAATTATATGTGACACCGTTTACGGCAACGTGTCGTAAGAGGTGATGACATATTATAACAGTAATAAATGCTGACAAGAGTTAATTTGCAGTATGTGGTAAAATTTCGGACAGTATTTGATAATATGAGGATGACTTTACATATATCGTGAGTCATAAATTATATTCAAACAAATTGTCATAGTGAATTTGAGATTGGAAGTATTTTTCGAAAATGGAAAAAAAATCAGAACCCACATTTGGGTGTAAAACAATTTATTTTTTTATGTCGTGAAAACATGTTCGTGTTGCAGCTAAAAATGCTACATTCGAAGCTACCGTTTTTTTTTCCATTTGAATCTCTGCGCATATTACAATGATATATTACCGCGTCACTATTCAGTGATGTGCCGAGGGTCGAAGTCCAGCTCTTGCAGCATAGACCTTTGTTGATAAAAAAATTTAAATTGAACTTTTTTTTTTACCAACCTAGGCAATAAATAATAATTATTATGTATCTAAATGTTATGACAATACATACAATATATTAATAAAAATAGAAAATATAATGGAAATAAATGTCTTTATTTGATTGATATAATAAAAGAATATATAGTATAGGTCTACATCAATGCTTATCACGCTAGAATTTAGTGATATGGTTTTAATAATATATGGAACCTATTATTTAAAAAAAACCATCATGTCTTTCTCTCAAAACTCAAAAATTGACCATATCCCTCCACTTAAAATAAGACCGTGACGCCATAAGTAGTTGATATATGCTTTTCGAATAGGCTGAAATAGCCATTGTTATTTTAGTATAAATAAATAGGCCACCAGTCCTCAAAAAAAGTCCTGGCTAGTTTAAGATAGGATCAATGTCACTCGATGGTTACTCACTTGTAATTATATTATGCGTAAACTTCGTCACATGTATAATATATTTAATGATATTAAACATTTTCAGACGATTGTTGTTCGTCGACTGTTGTCTATTACGTTATCCTACGCATTATCTAGAACATTCCGGTGGATAACAATACGTAACATAATAGTATAATATAGATAACGATATTCGGTTTAAACTTTGTACATATTCCCGTATAATATACGTAACAATAAGAAATGGGTTTAATATTTTTCAAATCTAGTCTCGTTTTTTTTTAATAAAAATGTACTCTTATCGTGTTATTCGTCTTTACAGAATTCTTTCTAAAAAAAGTAGAAAAAAACCTTTTTTTAAATCGTATAATGCGCACTGTCGTGTCTCGATATTTATTGATCACGTATCGATATGGTGAGCACTTAGAACACTGTATTCTAACTTGGCTCCTTTTACGGGAACCCTGATATCGACTTACACATCGCTGAAAGATAATGTTCAGCGCACACACATTGTTAATACGTTCGTTAGAACCGATATGATATTATAATTACCATAACACCATCTACAATAATATTAGGTATATATATCCACGGAAAAACGATATTTAAAAAAAAAAATAGGTGTTGCTACTATATGTGGCAGCCGGACACGTGTTTCTTTGAATTCTATCGAACTTCCGGTTGCCACTGTCGCGATAAAAAAATGAATAATGCGCACATGTACCTTTAATATAGGTCATATTGTACATATTTACATTCAGACATTCTGTATAATATACAATTCGTTTAATATTATTAATCGGATTTTTATATTTCTAGAAAATGGACCTCAATCGTGACGGGGTGGTGTCATTCGACGAGTTCATGGAAACCTGTAAAAATGACGAGAACATCACCCGTGCAATGATCTCAATGTAGACGAGAGACATCGTAAATATAGATGGTCCGTATGATTCCACGGACGTTGTTCGAAAATAAAATTATACCCAAAATGCTATCAGCGACAACGGTGGAACGGCGTAAAATCTGCAGACATCATCTAAACGATGAACAGTAGTATATAATATTATAATATGAAATATAATTTTTTGTTTTTTTAAAACTTTTTTTTTTTGACATATTGTGCGATTAATTTCATTTTTATTCTTTTTTTCCTCGGCGCAATCTTCCCAAAAATATTTTATTATTTTCAAACAAACGGAGAAATATAACATATAGGTAGTGTATTATAATATTATTATGTTATGGTGGGTCCCATACGAGACAGCCATAATATAATATAATATCATAATAAATAATAGTAAATGTATAAAACTTTTTCGAAACAAATTCCGTGCATACAGGTTAGGTGTCAAAACGCCACTCAATGTGATTCCACATGAAAAGCCATCGCATACTTTTTTTTTAATATACTTCGTAATAATAATATAATATAGTAAGTTATATTATAACAACAATATTGTGTACTATTTTATGTACATTATTAACAAAACAATATTTATACGTTACTTATACACCGTTCATAGACAAATATCTCGACTCCGGTGGAACAGGGTAATAAAAAGAATATACACGATAATACTACACACGATGTAGAAACACTATAGACTAGGTACTATAATAGATATATATATATGATGGGTTTATTAAGTAGTATAAAGGTGATTTCCAAGCCTGCTTGCCCTCTTTTTTTCTTCAATAATGCAGTTATTGAAATCTGAATTTCGGATTTTTTAAATATCGTTTAAGAAAATATTTTCAAATTCCTCTGATCAAATTATTCGAATTCTCGTATTAGTTAAGGAGTTTTCTGTAACTTTTGTTAAAAAAATATTGATGTATAAAAATCAAAATTTGATTTTGATTTATTTAACTTTGTGTACTAAGTATCTAGGTCCATGCTAATTGGTTTGGAAGATATTAATACTAATCTAAAAACATTGGTATGTAAAGTTAATAAAAATGATGAAGTATAATAAATACTAGATCCAATATTACATCTATTTTATACTTTTGTAATGGATTAAAGGAAATTATAGTTAGTATATGAACATTTTAATAAATGAGAAACTACTTGTTCTAATTTTTAACTATCGATACATCAACATTTTCAAAAAAATTACTGGTAAATAATGGAGTTGTTCTTATTTGAAAAACAGAAGTTTGTATTGCCACGAGTGACTCTGTAATCATTACAAAAAAAATCTCGAAAATTTCGAATACGGCCTTTAATTCAAATTTAAATATATCCAAAAATTTGAATTTCAATAAATTCATTATTAAATGAAAATTGGGGAGATGGCCATACTTGTTGTATCACACCGTGTATGATATTCGACGAAGTGCCGTCGTAATAATTATACTACCTGAATAATATTTGAAAAACGAGAGTGCTTTTTATTTTTTATTTTCTTAGGAACTACTGCGGACGAAAATGTGGATCTAGGTACGAAGTTTGTTTAGACATTTAAAACGCACCGTTCTATCAATCAGACGGTGCAGTTGAGTAACATACTTACTAACATAATATGTACGTTATATGAAATGATAGGTGCGTTGTAAATACAAACAAATAAAAGCAGGCATTTGTACATTTTTAATTTCTCAAATTAGCCTAACAAAACGATATTATCATTCCTACATTATTATTATTATTATTATTATTATATTAATGACGCGTGTTATCCTAAAATATTACCAGGGTTATTCGTGCATTGTAAATACGATAAATAATATATTATTTAGTGTTCCCCTCAACGATATCAAAAGAGTTTTATTATAAAACCAAATATTTAAACAGTTAAAAATATAACATAATACTTATATCAATTAATGTGTTTTTATTTAAATATTGGCGTTGTGTCAATGTGTGCTTACTATATTATTATATGTGCCGTCGGACGTTTGTGAAAATTATTTTAAATTGTTCTTTTTTAAGTTAGATAATAATATAACAATATAATATATATGTGTGTGTGTTATGATAACGTTGTTGTTATTTTTGTTGTTGTTTTGACAATGTCGTGTTCATATTATATGTATGGTATAAATTGACGCCGACGGAAAATGTGTGGTGGCCGAGTTTTTTATGAGATTAGTGGCAACATTAGGTAAAATTAATACTTATACTAAATTCAATATTATTATGCATCTATAATAATTTTTAAAAAACCATTAAAAAAAATCGATACCCTACCTGCAGTCAAAAGATTAACCACGGAGTGTAAATAATAATCACCCAGTAAATTATATGTTATATTATGCATATTATACATATTGTAATATTATATAGATGGATATTTTTTTTGTATCGCTAATAATAACCGTTATCCGATTGAGAGGTGTGTAAGACATAATAATAATAACACGATATAACGGTATTGTAAACGTATAATTATTAAAAAAATTGATTCGAGTGGAAAAAAATGAATAAAATATCTCAAATTGTAACGAATAATAATCAATTTCATCCGTGTTGATGCGACGAGAACGCAAGTATAAGCACTAAGTAGCTTCAAATTCACGTTGAACGAAATATTTTTGTATATTAACCGAATGTGGCCCACAACCTTCTCAACCATGCCAACTATCCAGTTTTTTTTTTCAAAACTATATTGTATTATAATATACTTCACATTCACCACTCTGAATCGACGCCAAAGTTTATTCTGTTCTAAATCGATTTCCATGTAGGTACCTGACTCTGGACGCCATTTTCGAAACACAGCATTTGGTTTACCTTTGTACTTTTTTGCAACACTGCAGATTAAAACAGTATGATGACTGTGTGTCGGTCCAATTGAAAACCATCGTTATAAATAGGGTTAGAACTCCCGAAAATTCTTGGAACGAGAAATGTTCCTAAGAATTCCCATAGGGGTACATGGTCGCAGAAACGAGATCGCTTTTTTTAAATTATTATTTTATGTTTCTCTAATTTTAAATTAAACTGTATTTGAAAACATTGTTTATTATAATAGAGTAACGGTTCCAAGCTGCAATAAATAATAGTCAGTAAATCAAGTAAACACAAATCGTTCCACAAATATATTATAATTTAACTATTATTGTTCTACTGGAGTGGTCTTTTATAGTCTTATTATGTACTCTTACGTATTTAATTTTTATTATAACCAGTAACTACAATTTTTTATCACTGTATAGTCACAGAATAAAATAATATTTCTTAAATAATGATTGATTAACATGAATTTTTCTATGTTCTCTTTCATTACCGGAAATTCCCTCAAAGTTACGTTTCCTGAAATTTACCGACCCTGCAGTTATAACGTATAGGTTAATATCACTAACTAACTCTATATTAATTCAACATGACCTAGTCTCGTTGTCATTCTAAGTGATATTTCCCGTGTATAAATATTTTTAATCGTTTATTTTTCTGGTATAGGTACGTAATTTATTTACGTTGCTTGCTATTAACTATTTCGGTCATGTTTTATGGTTGCACTTGCATTAATGAAATAAATAAATAACGAGACACTACATGACGCACAGTGATCGAATGTCTAACGGTTTTTTTTGGGATTGGAAGAAAATTGTTCTAGAGAGAGTGGGTTGGAAATTATAATAATTATAGTGGTTGTTACTATAGTGATGTTATACATACCTTGATTTTTGAGACAGAACCAAACCCGAAGCAAACTGTCAAATTGTTAAATTGAACCCAAACTAAGCCAAAAAAAAATATTCAGTTAACAAAACGATCTCGAAAAAGAATAATAATATTATTTTTAATTACAATGTATTCACAAAACAAGAAATTTTTTTCTGTTCTTTGTAAAAATTTAGTAGGTACCGATTTTGATTTAATTAGTTTAATTTTTAAATTACACCCATAGGCCTATTATTTGGTTCAGATATTTGCACTTTTAGGTCCATTTCAAAAATCAAACAATTAGTAACATCATTCGTTTGCAGTCTAGAGATTTACTTCGTCAAATTTCGTTACTAATTTTATAGATGCTACCATTTTATGGAGTAGGATTGGAGTGAAAAATGTGTGCAGTATTATTTACACAGTCTATAAATTATAATATCATTGGAATTTTAATGAAAATTAGATAAACTGTCAATGCAATCATCTAGTAAAAGTCCCTGGAAGATATAATATAGAGTAGTTCAACGTGTATTTATCTATAAAAAATGTCTAAGTATAATAAATAGCAGATTCAATATTATACCGATTTTATATTTTTACAAAAACATTTTTAAGGGCATTTATTTTTAGTTTAAACATTATAATAACTGAAAAACTACTTGTTCAAATTTTGAATTAGATATAGTTATCAACATTTTCAAAACAAGTATTAACTTAACAATTTTAAGTACAAAATGGGATTTTCATTTAAAAAATTAAAGTTTGTATCACCACAGGACACTCCTGTTTTACTATAAAATTCAAGAATTTGACAAATGATATTTAAGTATATTTAAAAATTACAAATATCAAAATTTAAATAAATTCATTTGTGCCGAAAAATGGTTGTGAACATGTTTGGTGAATCATCCTGTATATGATTATCTATTATTAATTGTAAGTTATTATTAATTTACCAGATACACCTGGCTGAAAGATATCATTTTTGCCACCACAGTTTTTCATAAATTAAAATTTATTAACTGTACAAAATATTAATACAAGTATGTTAAGACGATTGGCTTGCTACTCACGAAAAACCAAACCTTAACAATAATTACATTTTACCTATAGGCATACCTGTAGGTTAGGTTATACAACATTATGCTTATAATATTATGGTCACTGAGACTTATCATACTGTATCGTGTACCTCACCACACAAAGCTTTAAAAAATAACAATTCAACGATAGTAATTATACTATTTACCTACCTTAATATGTAATATCTATATGTATATAATATATTGAATATAATTTACACAAAAACCGTTTTGATGACGCTATGTGAGGTGGCCAAATGTTCAAACGTTGTCGTTGTCCAATCATTTTTAATAATTTGTGTTTACAACATAAGATATAAGCCTATCTAAAAAAAATGACATTTTAACATCGATATACATTAATTATAAGGAGAAAATCTGTTACTTATCTTTGTTCGAATACCATACTATAATAATATAATATGTAATATTGTATTTTAAGTTAATTATTGTAAAAAAAAAAAACCATTTAAAAAACGTATCGTGTTATTTCTAATGAAAACAATAAAATATATTATATAACATTTTCATTATGCGTGTTTTGTATTGTTACAGTAGTATTTATACGATATTATGCTATTATTATAATTTATTATACATGAAATTATGAATGAGAAGTGTAAATAACATTACACGCGTCGTGTCAACTGTTTAATTGTGTACTCTTCACACAGCTCATGTCATTATAATAATCATAATATGATATTATGTCCTTATAACTCACTGTGTACCTTTTTATCGGATATAGATTGTTTTATTCAAAAAAAGAAACAAAACAAAATCCTTCTATCAAACGAGTAAGTATATAATTGTAATGTACTTATGTGACTGTCTGATGAAGGTAATTTATTCGAATTCGGATCGTGATTTGAGAGAGTTGATAAAATAATAATGCATAGGTCTTACTATGGTGAGTGTTTTGTTTCTCTTCTGGCAATATCACACATTTTGAAGCAGTACACATTTTCCGAAATATTGTTATCCTGCTACGTCACTCATCTAATATAATATATAAATTACTAGTCCAATACAAATTAAATATCCTACACACGAAAAAATATTGTACCTTATACTATTTTGATGCAATAACCTAACCTAACCCTGGGACACGTCTTCTACTTATTCTGTCTGCATACGAATTTAGTTTTTCCTTCCATGAAACACGTTATTAGAGTAATAGGTTGGCCGTTGGATTAAGTTAGGATAGGATACGAATTTTCGGAATTGTTATAAGAATCCGTCAATCATGATGTATGCTGGCCGACGCGTCGCGACGGATGATATTGCGAAAGGCCTCAATAGATACGTGTGCGACGATACAAGTTTTATTATCATCTGACCGAATTGCCGTTCGACGAAAGGCTTACCGTTAAAAGCTATGAGCTTGGTGTATTGTTTGCATGGTACATCAAACCCATGTCTATATAATATAAAATGTATAGTACGTGTGCGTATATTGAACACAAATCATAAAACTCTTTCTCTCTCTTGCAGTAGTTTTGGATACCGTGAACACGCATATTTATTATGTAATTTATTGTAAATTTAACGACAACACGATAAAAAGACAAAACCTCGTTATATAGGTTACTTAAACCAAAGGTAGGTACTTAACCTCTTTAGTCATAATAAAAAGAAAAAAAACACGATACGATTATACTACGTCGTACGTAAAAATAACATAAAAAATAATATTATTCACAGTGGTCATAATAATAATAACAATACTATGGTCGGCGTTTCCGGAACAAGTCGTCTGCTAACGACTTCTTGTACTCTGCCCATCTGTTTTCCACGACAAACTTCCGGAACGACTGTTCGGCCGTCGGGTTGGTACCGTTCAGGGAGCACACAGTTCGTCCCCAGATGTTGGATGCGTTGTGCTTGGCGAGAAACGCTAAAGGGACCAGCAAACACTTGACATCGGCCGTGGCCATCACTATTCGCCCCGAACGCCTTTCACCTGTGAACGCACAAAATACCCATTTCCATCATTGATAATGATGATTTTTTGAATGATTTATAATGGTTTCAAATTGTATTGGTTGGGCGTCGGCCGGTATTGTCGTTATCATGAAAATAATAGTTTTCCCGCGGGCGTGTTCAGGGCTTGACAAAGAGTTTGACATTTGCCTATTACAGGATTCCGTTTTAGTTTATAAATTTAAGAGAAAAATATAAATGTGATTTAATGATATAATGAATAATAGTATAGGCCATAAACACTGAAACTCATAAGTCATAACATTAGAACTGTTGTATCGTTTTTGTGAAGCCATTTCGTTCTCGTTACATTATGAATGAGTTTTTAAAAAAAATTTCTTATTTTTCTTCGATTAATTAATCCTTATATAACGTTAATGAAACTAAATATTACATTATTACGCTGTTGTATATTAGCTGCTCGTAAAACGAGTTAAATACATCAAATGAAAAACAACTGAGTTTATGATATTGTCTATGAAATCTTACATTATTTAGAATATTATGAACTTCACTGGCACTCAACCTCCTTAAATTACCAGTGAGATAATTAAGCGGTTGAATTTTTATTTTAATGGTAGTCCTCACTATGAACATCGCCAAATATTTTTTGTCTGTACCAAAATAAAATTGACAGTGCCCGATTCAGCTCAAAAAATACAAAATCCACCAAATGAAAAGCGTTTAAAGAATGATAATACGTTGGTAACGAAATTAAAGTCCATCAATCATTGTTGTTTGCCATTCCCAGCAACGATTGTGATTTGGGACGTAGTCCCTCTCATCACCTTTTACCTATTTATTTTCGGGGCCTATATAGATAGAGACATATTATAGCCAGACGACAGCCTACTGATGGAGAATAATTTAATCAATAAAGGTCGATTACTGATGAGTGGGGAGACACAATCGAGTTACATCACAGATGCGATTGAACAATACAATATTTCTTCAACACACACTCCTCAAACTTTGTGTCCACACACCTAAAGAGTGATGTTTTTTTTTTTTTAATTGCTTTAATAAAAATTATTCAAATTATTTATTCTCAGTACAATGACGTACACCGCCGCGAATAGATGAATTATCTCGATGTATAATATGAAATCTGCTCGGAACCAATGGTGTGTAATAAGTGCTTAAATAATCATTAACGAATAACAACTGTATAATTGTAATATATTATACGTCTCACCCAAACCGAAAACCGAACCCGGGCGCAGATCGGCCATCTTCACATAGACCGTCTGTACGTTTTTTTTTAAATCCAAATTCGATTGGTTGTCGCCGCCATGGTCACGGATCAGAGTGAAATGGTTTCGGCCATATGCTGTCGTTTTACGGACTCGGAGTCGCTGCATGCAAGTACACCGTCCTTCGAGCACGAAGTAAGCGTTTGCCTCGATGGAGTTGTGAACGTCATCTGCAAAACACACAACGAAACGTTGATATTATTTCAGTTGTATATTTATTGTGATCGGTAAACTTGTGAGGAATTGTTCAATAATAGTACAGTATGGTTTTAATAGGTAATTGAATATTTAATAAATTGTAACTAATAACATTTATATACACAAATAGAAAACGCATCGACTACGACATCGATGTCACGACCGATGTGTATGATCGACACATATAGACACATATAGACACATATAGACACATATCAACGCATATCGGTTAATACCGTGGTGTGTTCGAAATTTCAAACTTTAAACATCTATGACAAATGACAATTACTGTCAATGTTATCGATAATGTGAAGTGTTTTCAGAAAGTTGGTTGTCTACAAACTTAAGCTTTTAAATGAATCAAAAACTTTTAAACTTTATTAAAGAAGTCTAATTTATAACTCTGAACTTTTACTATACAGAGAAACTAATTTAAATACCTCTTGGCTTTTAAATAATTACCATACGATTTTTGCAACTATCGTACTATTTTTTAGGTATTCATATTATGTAAAACGGCTGTAAGTTATAATTACGTCGTTTAAAATTTAATTCAAGTAAGTATGTATTAAAAATGTTAACAACGGTAATAATATTATTACTTAAATTAGGATAGACACTGTACACTCAAAAAACATTAACTATGGATAATATGCGTATTCGATTTTAATTCTTACCACGATCAAGTAAAATAAGTAGGTTACAAAAACGTGATGAAAGGTACAGCTCAAATAAATATTGTACTTAATTATTATGTTGTCTAATAAAATTATTCGATAAATTATTATATAACATTATTGGCGTTATAACTTATAAATAGCATTGGAACTATATCATGTAGGGAATCCTGTACATAATATCTGATCAGCATGTTCTTTTTACGTGACTTTATTACTTCCTTTGGTTTGTGTTTATAGTTGTATTGATTGTCCCTGAGGTTGTAATTAGGTATAGTTGTATAGAATGTTAAGATGAGGTGGCTTCGTTTACAGGTAAGTTTGCTTTTTCATTTTTAGGTATCCCAACAGAGGGCTCACAAGAATAATATAATAATTAAATTACGTTTTATCGGTGGCACATTAACTGTTGACATTATTGATAAAGTTTATATTTAAAAAAAAAAATAATATTTGAACAATGATTTATTATTAACATAAACCAACAAACTATTTCCATTGTTAATAACGTACATACATATAATAAAACAATACGAGACAATTAACTGCGTTTTATGCAAATAGTGTAGTAGTACTCGTAGATTTTACACAGCAGACGATTAAAGTCACGCCGGAAGAGTGTGCTTTACTTCAAAGCTCTCTTTCTCTCTCTCTTTCTCTCTCCCCCTCTCACTCTCTCTCTCTCTCTCCCCCTCTCACTCTCTCTCTCTCTCTCTCTCTTGGACATTTTTCCTCGACCTTATTACTATTAAAGTACAAGGGAAAAAAGTTATTTTTATTACCAGCTCATGGATATCAGTCGACACAGCTTTTTCCTGTACTTGTAATTTTCAATTCGGTTTTCATCAAATAAAGTATTTTGAGAAATGTAATAAATAATAATATATTACTAAATCCAATACGTATATATACCAACAATAATATATTTTGAAAGCCAAAGTTTCAACTTATTGTTAGTTTGAGTAACGAGAAAATCGTCAGCTGAAGAAAAATGATCATAATTTTTAAATCGCACATTTGAACCATCCGATGATTTTCGTTCATCTGCAGCTTATTATTGAGAGCACCATTTGTATTACCTATTGTATTCAACGAATGTCTGCATAGCATTCTCGAACATTTTAGAAGATGGAGAGCTGTTTTGTTATTGCATTGACGCCTTTAATTATATCTATTGTTTACTATTGTTAATCTAAAATAGAGAGAAATTCTTTGTATGAACGTTCGGGATAATATCACTCTATAGGAAATATAGCGTATATTGCAATTTATCTATAAATAAATTCTAGCGATATGTGTCGTTTTGCATATTTCACAAAGAACCGTGCAGCGCATGAACTTATTTCACGCCAACTCATCAATTAAATTGTGCTTTACAAAATAATAATTTTTTTCTCACACGATCTCTACATAGTATGTCACAAAATATAAGAAAAAATATAGTAAACACAGTTCATTTAAGACTTCTTTTCTAAATGTAATATGTAAGTTGTAAGCATGTTTTACCAAATTACCAAATAAACTGGACGTTTCAACTTACAACTGCAAACATAGTATAAGTATGTATTACCATATTATATATTGTATAAACATATTTTACAGTGATAATTATTAGTATTTTCTTCGTCTTGAAAAAATTTATCAAACGGCATTCCATGGAACACGCGTGACTATATCTAACTAACACAGTAGTTGTATATTAAGGTATTATACTTCAAAAACTATTCATAATAATACGTAGGTGTACAATTAATAAAAAAAAAAACCATTGTAGTTCCCTGTATCCACAATATTACGTAAATCGATTACCGCGATGTCTGCTTTTACTTTGTCTGACTCTGTTTTGAAAATAATAATGTTTTCGTTTGATAATATCGCTTCCTAACCGTGAGAAACACCGACTTTACAATGCAGAGCCAAATTTTTAAAGACGAATGTCATAGGCAGTTTACTTAGCGGGGAGTTATGTTGTTTTTTTAAGGGAGGGGGGTTGAACATGCCACTTGGGCACAACCCCAAACGACAAACACTTAACTCACGATTCCCTATATAAAACTATTTAATTAGTGCTGTAAATTATTCGAATTTGAATTAGGCGGACAATCAGGGTTTTCGAGACATATTTTTAGCTTACAAAACTATTTAATTCAATTATTAAAACTTCTTTTATTACTGTTTATATCAAAACAAACTGAGATAATAGCGTTAATTTATACCGTAATGCACTTATATTATAAACGGCGTTTATAGTAACAACTAAAACTAAATTCGTTAAATAAAACAAATCCAACACAATACACAGAAACTGACACTTCATTACATAAATCACGTTTCAATAATTTATGTTGGCGAACTGAATACGATATTATAATTGTAAAAGTGTCTTCAAATAAATATTTTAATATAGACGTTGTGCTTGCATTTTGTATAGTTGTTATTTTTGTCTTATTTGTTTAAATTATTCATCCCCCCAAGTATATTTTAAAAACTAATGCTAAGTAAAACACAATTAATTTATATTTCAAACACATTTAACTCATAGTTAATAATATTATATTAGATCGATTAAAACACAAACCAGGAATCGTGTAAATGGAGTTAAGTAGGGACATAATATTTTACCACAGCACACTAATCGTATTGCTAATCACATAGTGTCATTGGCGTTACCTATTGGTAGAATTAGAAAGACGACAAAATAATTCAGGTAATTTTCAATTATTCTATGAAATATTAGGTACCACACCCCTTTCTCTATTTTTTTTCTTTTTTCGATATAATTGTTTTTCCACGCGAATCGATAACGACAATAATGATGCGCAATCGTACTTTGGCATCCACGTACACTTAGTCTATAATATTTTTTAAAATTTATAATTCTAGAATAACATAATATTATACTATAAAACAAGTTTTATCATATTATAGATGTTCTAGATTATATGAGATCGAATTCTACTTCTTCGAACGCAAATGAATTACCATCATTCAACATGTTATGATATCGATTTATACTTGATCGATTTTTGATTCTACTTTTCATATATAAATTGATTAATTTATATTAATTTTTGATGAACACAACACGTTAGTGGTGTAGTCATGTCCAGTTAACTTTTAGCGCATTCTTACTAAGATGTATATACATTTATATACATACATATATATTATACATTATATATATAAAAAAAAATAAAACAAACAAATAGTAGAAAAGTTTTTGTTTGAAAAAACGATACCCTAGAGAGAGTAAAAGTTATTTTTAACGTCAAATAACGATCGCCTCGTGGACATTTTTGTTCAAAGAAAATAATATATAAAACTCACTTAAACAGCAAAAGTATATAATATAACACTTTTATACATATATATTTAACCTGACCTAATATATATACATATATATATTATATGCTATCGTGCGTTTAAATAAGGTCCAAAATATATAAGGTCTGTACCACGTGGTCGCACTGTCTCTTCAACCGTATAATAGCTCAGTGGTTACGCGTCAGTGTTGGTCGCGTGTGGTTATGGGTTCGAATCCCACACACCGACCTTATTTTTATCGACGTCATGTTATGAAAAACCATCTTGGCTGTGTCTTATTATTCGGCCATTCTTACTGTAGGAACTTTAAGTTGCATTGTTTAATCGCAATATATGAAATGTTAAATTACTTTAATTTATAACTGTATTATTGTCGAAGTATGAACGGGTCGTGCCTTTTTCCCACTACCGGCAGACAACTCGCCAAATTCTTTTGATATCGTACCTACGCTTTACAACCAATAATATACGCATTATAGCTCTCATTTGCGTTTATAGTAAGTTGTTTAAACATCGGAAGGACGAACTAACGGTGCTCGACGCGGTTCCGATGATTGTGCGCACAGCTTGCGGCAAACATAATGAAACGCGAAACAATTTATTTTATACGCCGTACAAAGCGAAAAATCCCATCGGGTCTTGTCGTTAAATTTGCATACGAATAACTAAAATAAATTATAATAATTTGTATGTACCACAACAGTTATTTAAAACGAAAACAAATCAAACGCCCGCTTTTGTTAACCGTCTACATTATACACTGCTTACAGATTTACTGTACACAGGCACAGCAATAATATCGCTCAGCGTTGCTATTCGATAAACTGTAACAGTATAACAATTTGACGACGAATAGGCTAGCAAAATTGTTGGCATACAAGTCGATATTTTCATTATTATTTTTATTCAATCAACGACAGAAAAGAAAATAACACGGTACAATATCAAAACTAGTATTGAACTATAGTTAC